GCATGCGGCAATGGCGTCGTCTTCTAGCTAGCATAAATCAGCAATCACGGTGTCTTTTAACACAAATTGCTGCACCAAAACGCCGCATCTTACCATTAGTGGAATAATGTTTGTGTTTTCTGGGAAACCTCTGCATAAGCAACAGCCATCTTTACTGTGATTATCACCATGCCTAAAGGGGCACGACAGCAAATTGCAGCAGAAAGAAGTCTTTATTCCCCAGTGCTAACGTACCTAGTGGGGGGGGGGAGGGGGAGGGGCATTTGTCAGCGCCTCCGTACCCCGTCCTCTAATCAAAGCTTAGGCTTAAGACTATGTCTTCCCTGGGACAATCTTATGGTGACACTGGCCTCAAATTATAAGCCTGGGCCTTTTTGGGAAAGGGGTACAGAAGTGCAACCAAGTGGTGGTCCCACCCCTGCGTTACGTCAGATCTCTTTTTCCTCACACCCACATATATGACAACAAACAGGGACATTCTAAGATTAATGAAAGCCACCTAAAAGATTGGTTTGAGTGACGTAAAACTGCGCAGAACTAAATCATACGGAAAAAAATTGAAGAAAATTAAAAAGAGGTGGAAATCGGTCACGAACTGGAGAAAACCTGTTTGATTGACGTCCTTGATGACAGTGGGAATGATGATGTCGACGAGTGGCGCAAACCGGAGGTACGACGAGGCGCGACGGGCGGCAAAGACGAGGACGGGGTCGGGGGAGAGGCAGCGGTGAGAATGCAATCGGCGCACACGAATTGCCGAATTCAATGCAAAAAGCGAAGCACGGGATCCAAATAAAGACAGATGTCCGCTGAAACCTCGTGAGGGGACGGTAATAATTCTAAATGACGAAATCCGGCAACCATGTGATAGTCACCACACACATGGGACGATACGGTAGGTTGTACTAACGGGCGAATTTTCGAGAAAAAGCCGAGCGCCGTCATTTTTTGCACTTTCGACAACGAACGTCGTCAACAACGAATTTCGTAAGAAGCCAACTCACCCAAAAGACCACTTCAATCAGTGGTCCGTAAACGAATGAAAGGTACGGTATGCAGGGATATCTACTTGTTTATTCAAAAGTTAATCAGCCCATCAGCCGGCATCATTCGCCGGATAAATGTAGCGGTGTAAGACGGCTTCGCATTATCGTCACAATGATGACTTAGAGAGGGGAGGCGGGTTGTGCAGCGCCGGTCCTGGCGGAAGCGGAAGGGCGGACAAAGACAACCGTAATAACGGAAGTCGCGTCGTCGCGCGCAACGTATCGTGCGAAGATGTGCGGCAAATCCTCAATGTGCGTCAGGTTTGTCAGTTGAAGCGGCGAAACTTCCTGAAATGAGGCGCAGACAAGATCTCATAGCAGGTTATATACCAGAATTTCCCCGTCTCTTGAACACTCAAATTCGGTGGCCAGGCAGGACAAGTCGTCTTTCGGGCGCGACGTCGCTCGCCGCGCCCTAGTTAGTCGCAAAACTTTTATCAAAACTAAAACAAAACGCTAACTTTTGTTGTTCGCCCTCCCCCCCCCCTTCCCCGCCCCTCCGCTCGAATGACGGAAAATTTCGGAGGAGTGGTAAGCGGGTTGTAGGAGGACGCCTTAGGAAGATATTCACGAGATGGGCCCTACTGACATCGCCACTTTACCATCCAAATGAAGAAGAATCGAATGGGGGATCGTGTACCCGGACAGATCTCGCCCGTAACCTTCCATCTCACGAAGGCCGATAAATTGGTATCAGACCCGTTTGGAGGTAAGAGCTGCTCACTTGTACTGAAGTTGGCTCCACAGCTGTCATGTTTAGGCCAAACCTGAGAAAGACGGAGTTTCTGGTCCATCAAAAAGCGGACTGATCAACGCCGCAAGCGTTATCTCTCTGAGTGATATGTCAAGGAAAAGAACATCCCATATCCCGAAACAGAGTGGGCGTGGCTGCGCACTTCACCTTATGGCGTTTACCATGGAAGATTTCCATTCGTGACACTCTATCTGGGGCCATTTCGTCTTGTGCTCAACAATACGTGATTACAATTGTCCCTACACGAAATATCTCAGTGGAAGCGCTACCCCGCCCTCCCCCCCCTCTCCGACGAACTACACCAACGTCTGAAAGCAATTAGTTCGACGAAAATCCAGCAGTTTACAAGACGTAAGCGTCTCGCCAATATTGAAATATGAAATAACCAGTCGGATCACCCGGCTGCCGTCGGGTGCTCCTCCTTCTGTTTCACGGCCCGGCTTCGTCGGGCCGACCTGGCTTCGCCAGGTAGAGGGGTCCCTTGGGCGTAGAATGTGCTTAATGTGCCAAATAGTGGCAGTTTTTTTCATTAAAATGTCGAAAAAAGCTCAACATCAGTCATCTACCAACATCTGGTCGCTCTTGCTTACTACACATTTTCAACAGTGAGAAGGCTGAACCATATCATCAAGGACCGCAGTTGCGACATCAGAATAAAGTAGAATTGCTCCGGATGAGCCCTTTACATCCGAAAGAGGCATAGTCGGTATGGCTGTGGCATTTGGAAGAAGACAAGCTTTACATCTGCTTCCGCTACATGTTCAAAGTTGTTTGTCGCACGGAGCTCGAATGTTACACTCCCTGTTGTTGGTTTACCTCCTTATTTTATTTTGGTGACCTCTTCCTTCTAACGCCTCTTATCGGATCTTATCAACTGATATCACTTCCTGTCACCACCAATAGTGTTCCCGTCACACCCCCTACATCACTTCTTGGAACCAATGTCTCACTGCTACTGGGACCGGCGCTATGAATTTCGTGACAGACACACGGACAGACAAATTTAGCGGTTTATATATAGCTGGATAGAGCACCAAATTCCAGAGCAATATCCAGTCAGACACAGGGCATGTAACCCCACACAAAACCACCAAATGCCAAAACATTCATTATAAACCAAAAATATATTTAAAAAAATGCTGTGCGTCAACTATCTAACATGCTCTTCAATTAATAAGTGGTTAAACCGCGAAATCGATGAGATCGATCAAAGTGAATGTTGAACTCAAACGGTGATCTTCAGCACACCATTCTCGCCCACCGACACAGACCTCTCTTCACCAGATGCTGAGTCATCCTCGATAACATTTTCTTCGCCGCTTCTGTGCAGGATTGACACGTCCACATCAACACCACTACCCTGAAGCAAAGAATTTTCACGAAAATGCTTTGTCCTACCTCAAAGACAGTGAGTACATTGTCTGGGGAGGGGCGCGGGACCATATCGTCCGATGTCATTGGTGGGAGGGCGTTGGGGCACCCCTCCAAATCTTCTTCGGGATGCGCCTACATTCTGCTTTCACTCTACGAATAAGATGTAGCTTGTAGATGACCTGAGTACTGGGTGCCAGCCGAAGCAATGTGGTTTTTCCCCTCAGAATTGTCTGGTATCAATGTACTGGCCCTAACCTGTACAAGCTTTGTTAAGTACAATTTTGTGACCCCACCAAACCGAACAGCACCGAAGTTTCTCGATTTCTTGGATCAAGTTGCAGTACAT